TACAATTCCGGGACAGGAAGAATGTGTGTGTACATGTATCCATTCACTTTGTCAGCATGTTAAGAAAGTAGATGCTGGTTGTAACGTTTTGTGCTTGCCATCGCTCTGCTATCTTTAGCTGAAGCTCAACTAACATGATATCATCAACTGTGAGGCAACACATTGGCTCAGTGGTTAACACTGCTGCCTCACAGCACCGGCAACCTGGGTGTGATTCCACCCTCGGGCGCCTGTCTGTGTGGATGGAGTTTGCACGTTTTCCCCGTGTCTGCGTGGATTTCCTCCGGGTGCTCCGGTTTCCTCCCACAGTCCAAAGATGCGCAGTGTAGGTGAATTTCACACGGTGTCCAGGGACGTGCAGGCTAGGTGGGTTAACCATGGGAATTGCAGGGTCACAGCATTAGGGAGATGGTCTGGGTGGTCTTCAGGTGGGATGCTCGTCGGAGGGTTGGTGTGGACTTGATGGGCTAAATGGCCTGCTTTCACACTGTAGGGATGTTATGATAATCTCAACAATATTTATTAAAACATACTGTCATGTTCAATCATTGATTAGAGAGCAGTTACAGTACTGGGGCCTAAATTTAACAATGTTGTATCTGTTCTACTTGCACTGAGGCCTGTTCACAATCTGCACTGTTCTTGAAGTTCTTGGTAAATTGATCCAGGCCATTTGTTTGGTGGGCCCTGACAGCTGCCTGAAATAAGCACATGCCCTATTTTAATATTATGATACAGCTGCCACATCCATTGCAGACCTGGACTCCTCAATATAACAAAATCTGTTGGAGCTCCAACAAGTATATATCCACGTCTTCAGTTAATTATGCTTCTTAAAGGAGCCACAGGAGGCTGTTCAGAGAAGGTAACACATTTTTTAATGTGTATTTTGGAAGGAGCAGGAACACTCTTCCTGGCTCCCTGAAACAATGACAGACTGCTGTGAGATAAACCTATTCTCCTTCCCCACTCGCTCCTCCTGGGCGTAACTGTTGCCGAATTAGTTAGACCCAGGCAGGTAAGTTGCATTTAGGCACGTGTCGGCACATGTAGCCTGACTAAATTGTGATTATGAGACCTGAGGATCAAAGTAAGTTCAGGCATGCTGCCTCTCCACACACCAAAATGATACACTGATTTTTTTTTAAAAGTATTCATTCCTGGGATGAGCACATTGGTGGCCAGGCATTTATTGCTCAGCCCAGAGGGCAGTTAAGAGCCAACCTCACTGAGTCTAGATTCACATGTAGTCCAGACAAGGATGGCAGTTAAAAGGCATTAGTGAACTGAATAGGTATTTCCCAACAATTGACAATGGTTTCACAGTCATCAATAGAGTCTTAATTACAGGGTTTTTTTTATTAATTTCAAATTCCACCATCTGTCATAGGTCTGTCATTCAAACCTGAGTCTCTGAATTACCAGTCCAACGATATTACCACCAGGCTATTGCTACCCCCGAATGTGAATAAATGTAAATCACCATGTTTGTGATTTGGGGACTCTATTTTAGGAAGAATGCTATTGCCATGTATAGTGATTGCAACGAGCTCAGCCAGATGGATCACATAGAATACGAGTTCCCTGATTGGGGCTGTTAATCTGGTCCAATCAGGGAGCGCTGGCTGACAGATATAAACAGGAGTGTCAGGTGTTCTGTTCACTCTGAGAGCTGGCTCTGAGGAAGGCAGAGCAGTATCAAAACTATGTGCTTGTAAATAAAGGGTGACTTGGTGACGGGATACTGGCCTCTGAGTATAACATGCAAAACTGCTGAGCTCTGTCATCCACAAAGGCAGCTTTCTCCTCCCCATGTCCTCCTCATCCTCTTTCGAAGATTGCTGTCATTTCCCCAGTTCCTCAGCATTTGTCACAATGCCAGCTTGAATTATGCTGAGCCCAACTTGCTGGGATAAAACTGCACAGACTGCCCAGAATATACCGGAGGGCCACCCCACAGCTTGGTCCAAGCAGCGGAACTGCATCTTCATCAGTCCCTATACTGTTCTCTCCCATGACCCTGGTCGAATCCTGGGCTGCAGCGTATCTGCACTTTGCATCAGTTAGGCACTTGTGTATTGGGGTCATGAACCATGGTGGCCGTGGGTACCCCTTACTCCCTCAGGGCCCAGCCTTGTGAGGCAAATGGATACTCAATGCGTCCAGCACGTGTGTTCCAGGGTGGAGGAATCACGGCAGCTACCAGGAGAGTGAGCACACCACCTCCAGCAAGTGGATTAGAGATCACCTGGACATTTATGGAATGAGATCCCTTCCTGTCGACGACTTCCACAGTGTTGTGAGATGGCCCTCTCAGTGCAATGTGTGTGCAGTAGATGGCAGCAATGTACACCAACTACAAAGTGCACAGCAGTAACACGCCAAAACTGCTCCAACAGCACCTACCAGACCTGCAACCTCGCCCACCTGGAAAGACAAGGGCAGCAAATGTATAAAACCGGCAGCACTGCAGGTACCCCTTCAAACCACACTTCATCCTGACTTGGAAATATATCACTGTACCTATACTGTCGCTGGGTCAAAACCCTGGATTCTTCTTACCTGACAGCACTGTGGATATTTCTACAGCCCAAGGATTGCAGCAGTTTAAGCTGGCAGCTCCCCACCACCTTCTTCAGGACAACTAGGAGTGTAGTATAATTTTCTGGCACAGCCAGTGATGCCAAATCCCACAAACAAATTAAAACAGAATGAACAAAGCCCTTACAGCTGTTTGTAACTACTCACAGTCCCTCTGTGGTGCTACAAATAAAAGCAGGGCTTTTTTTTATCTGTAAACAGCTGCAGCCTGAACAGCAAAGGGATGAAGGTTAGTGATAACATTTTAGAAGTCAAGATGAAGATAATTTTTTTATGAATTAATAAACTGAGATATTCACCCTGTGGGCATAGCGAATGAATGAGCTAGATATTAAAGCTGAAAATCAGACCACAAAATGGTTTTTATAGAGTAATTTATTTGCAGAGTTGCTTGTATCTAACAGTTTTCATTTATCATTTTACTTAATTACCTTCTTCCACGTAATTAATTTCATAACCATTTTAATTTGACAAAAATAAAACACCTAAACTCACACAAAATTGTTATACTAATAAACACTCGGCAAAAGATATTTCTTTTCACAATTTATTTATTTGCATTTGCTTTACTTGTCTGGACTCTAGTTTAATTAGACTCTCAAATTTTACTGTATGATTTCTGCTAATTATTCCCTACTTCCCAGTTTCGCTCTTAAAATTGTTAGCACCAAAATTTAAGTTTACATCTAATTTCTCAATGTTGGTTCATACTCTGAATTTTACATCACCGTTATCATAGCAAAACTGAAGAATCCACAGCTATATTTTCAATGTCATCATCTGCACTTTCAATATTTGTGGAGGCATTTGAGACCATATAGGAAGTTGTTGTTCTTGTACCAAAATGAAGAGATTTAGTTGTTAGTGATCCTATTCAGCTGTTATATGTTTCAAAACATGTTTTGGTTTTCTTGTTGTTTCCATGAGAACATTTACTAAGTCGGAGGTTCACTTAAAGGTTAGAATTTACTTTTGTGTAATGTTGAAAGTGGGCCCTTTGCTCCACAATATTCACGTATTTCTGATTTATTGCTCCTACATTTTGAATCTGACTCTATTCTGTGATGAGGATCAAAGATGAAAACTTCGTTAAGGAGTCTTAGTCACTTTCTTGCAGCACTGGTAGTTCTTGCATTCTGTTGTTCTTGGTCAACTTCTTGCATTCTTACTCTGCTTTCTACATCTTCTCTTTCTCTATCTGTGGCCTGTTAGTTTTTCTCAATTTTATGCCCTTTTTCCTCTAGCCTGTGTATTATTTCTGTTTGTACATGCTGCCTGCCACTTTCACTGAACAAGTAACAACATGCCTTGTCTCAGAATATAAATTATATGATACAAACCATAAGAAAAAAAATGAAGTAGAACTGAAGGTAGATGTTTATGATTTATGTTATAAATTTGGAATGTGTGGTGATGATTGGTTAAAGTATAAGTGAGTTACGGTGTCAATGCAGATACAGTCTAGGCAGGCCACAGGATCCCATACCAGAAGATGAAAGCCCCTTCGGAGGTTATTAGATTGTTAGATGTCAACCATCCCATATCGAGCCCCTTGATCCACGGTAACATCTACCAATTTTGATTGAAATCACTCAAGGACCTCAGAGGAGTTTGTGACCAAGCAGAAATACACATTTCACAAACATCAGCTTGACTTTTGTCTTACCCTTTCAATGGAAGTGGGGGTGATTATCTGGACTTGCTGCTGACATTACCACTTGAGTCCCCATTAAACAATTATATTATTTTCTGCATTGTTTCCCTTTTTCATGATCGGGTGTACTTTAGATATCAGGATAATTTTGGTGTACTGCTGCAGAATCACTAGCATATTGCTCATCAGAGCACTTTCCTCTCTTCAATAAAAAGTGGCTTCAGGTCTGCCCTACTCCATGCATATTAGCAATGAGGAACTCATTCTGCCTGAAACGACTGTCTGCTCATTAGAACCAACTGAAGTTTGACTTTAAAATACCAACTCTGTGAATTCAGATGTATCCATTGCAAATGTTAAATTTGTATTCAGCAGTATTTGCATATTTGCAACTCTTACTTCATATGTATCTTTCATTGAATAGTGATATTTGTTGGAACATAAACTGGAAGCTATTGCATGATTCTGTGAAATATATGCATTCCTAGAAGCTAACCTATAAATCAGGGTGCAGTATTTGACATGATTTAATTCTTACACATAGTTAAATGCTGCCTGCAGACATTGGTGTTTGTTCAAGGTACAAATGTTGTTTATTTCTTTTTAAATCTGTATTCCCTAATTTATTCCATAAATCATTAGTGACCAAAATGACAAGTATTCAATAATGAAATTGGCAGTAAAAGCGAGATTTTTTTTTTTTCAAATGTCTTAACCACCCTCTGTGCTTCTTTATTTGTTTTAGGTTAAACAGTGGTCCTCCGCTACCTTGTTCATCCAGGCCCAAATCTGGAAAGGATGTCACATATTGGAGACGAAGAGGGCAAGACTTCAGTGTTTTATTGGATTACACGAACCAAGGAGACTCGGGCTGCAAAGGAAATAATATGACAAAAGTTCTAACCAATCCAAAGGCCGAACAACGAGGGAAAGGTTCGCAGGATGCTCAACGGAAGAACATGCAGCATAAACCAGAAGTAACTAGAATGAATGAGCAAAAAAGTTGGATGTCAGAAGGTCAGAGCGTGACAGTGAAAGGGATGGTTGAAGACAAGTGGAGAACGCCAGAGGATCGTAAGTGCCAGAGCTTGGGGACGGAGGAATGGAAAGCGTCTTTAGGAAGACAGCTATCTGATGGTGATGGAAGCAGATGGAAACAGGGCATACTGCCTCATGTGGTTGATGGTAAAGAATTAAAAAGAGATGGATTGCCATATGTAAACAAGGGAAAGTCTCAGTCATTGCCCAGAGTTATTCCAGAAAGTAATGGTAAGGAATTTCAGACTGGTCTATATTATGTAGATATGCCTGGGTTTGACAGAAAAAGAGCGGAAAATCAATTTTTGAAAGATGATCTTGTGTTGCAGGATAACGGCTCTTATTGTCATCCTAAAACAAGTTCCAAGTGGACAGAAAATCTTAGGCCATGTACTCAGTTGCCAAAAGCGAAGTTGACCAGACCGCTGAAACCTCCTTCGTACGAACTGTATCAGCAAATTAGGAGAAGTTCAGAAATGATACCTAATCTCCATGTACATGGGGAAACTGATGGGCAAGTGGTTTCTTTGGCTAAGAACAGTGAAGCAAGTGTTGATAGTAACTGCTGCCCTCAAGGTCCTGCTGGTAACAGCTTATTACCTCCTGTCTATGTGCCTCCCCCATCTTACAAAGCACCACCTCAGCAGAAAACCAGTAAGAAATGTTTTGATAAAGTGCCTGCTTGTGATAGCACATGTCAGCCCTATCAATCAATGGATACTGTTACCGATCAGTCTCACTGGTGTTTAGATAACCAGGAGAGTGAACATGCTCATCGGAAAAATATGTCTCATGATAGTGACACAAAGCAACATCTGCAAACCAAGAATGTAAATGATGATATATGTAAAAATATCCCTCACAAAAGACAGCCATATAGTTCGTCACATAATGGATATACAGATGACCAAAAGGCTTTTGTCAAGTACATACCATTTAATGATCCTCGATTAAGACATATTACTATAGTGCCATCTGAAAAGCAATGCATTGAAGCAGATCATAAGTACGAATTGTGGAATGCAAAGGACAATGTTGCAGATGGAAACAAGACATTCAGACCATCAGACCATTGCAGTGCCTTTTCTGTTCCATCAGGATCATATTATTCCACTCAGGCAGGCCTGAGGCCTATTACTGATACTATGACTAGCAACAAATGGTTTGTAGCATCCAAGCCAGAGTTTGAGAATGGTACTAAGCCTGAACATTGTTCTAAGCCGTATCTAGACAACCAGCTTGACAGCTCATTCAAATGTAATTCCAGCGTTTTTTCAACCGTAAACCATCCAGTTGGTTATCCACATTCAAATGCCAATTCTAAAGCAGAGCCGCATGTGGTTCAAGACACTGTTGAAACCATTACCCAGGTAAAGAAGTGGGAACCAGATTCCCAGAGTTTTGAGGTGCAAGAGAACAAACACTCAAAAAGAAGAATGACAGAAACAATATTTTGTCTTGTTTCGGTGCCAGTTAAAACATGCGAAGAAGAGTCAAATGAAGATGTCTTTGTTAATGATGTGAGAAATGGGAGCATTGATAGTGTTCTGAATGATAGCACTGGAAACTTAACAGAGCAAAGTTTTTTAAGTATGTCTTCCTCTGACTTGGAATTACAAGCACTGACAGGAAACATGATCTCAGAAAATGGGTTGAAGCGACCTGAGCCCTGGAATGAAGTTAGCAATAGGCATACAGTTGGCTATAATTTTAACCAACACAGAGAATTAAGAGCTTCTGGCTCTTGGCCGGGTGACCAGTATAGAGATCAAGAAACGCAAACAAGCTTCGTTAAAGGTCCCCGTACCACTCGGTCATTCAGTAGTGCTATGAAAAATATTAGAACAGGTAGCCAGATTCAAAGTCAGAACTGCTCAGAACCTGAATCCAGTACATTAAAGCAAGGGGATAAAAGGAGTGCAGAAGTTACAGCCATCAATGATCAGAAACGTAAGCTGAGTAACTGTTCAATAAATGGTCAGATGAACTTGTATCCCTGTACTGGTAGTGCTTTCTCAAGGGCAGCTCCTAAACAGCATCAGGTCAATCACACTAACTCACACCAAAGCCATGTTCATGGGGCTTCAAGATGCTCACAGAAAGAGAGTGGAGGTGGAAATGTGGAGAGTCAAGTTGAAAAGAGCAGAGTGGTTTCACAGACATCATCAGGCGATGGCAGAGAGACTGTCGGGTTTGGTCAGTTCCTCTTGAAACCCGTAAGCCGCCGTCCTTGGGATGCAATTAGTGAATTAGAAAGTTTCAACAAAGAGATTCAGGAACAAGGGGATCGTAATATTCAGGAACGGGAGAAGGAAATTGAAGATGGTGAGCTCAATGTAAATCAGTCAATACATTCCGACAGTCAGACTTACCAAACGCCTGAGCTGTGCATGCCTAAAAAATCATCAGTCAAGCTGACAAAGCCCAAAGAAAAGAAGGACAGTGGCAGTGATAAAAGTTGCTTAAATTACACTAATATTACCCCTAATGTACAAGTCCATTCGAAACGGTCCACTGACAATAACAAACTGAGCAGCCAGTCAATCAATCTATTCCAAAAGCCCATCGATAAAAGAACAACAGATACCAAAAGTAGCACAATTCTAAATGTGTTCACAACAAAAAATGCAGAATTCACTAAATTAAAAAATGAAAACAATTTGGAAGGCACTAAGAGTAAAAGGCAATGTATAAATGTCAATGGAGTTCGAACACCTATGTGTCAGTTAATTCAAGAAAGGACAGAAAGCACAAATGATCCAGACACATCAAACAAAGTGGATGTGCCAGGCAACAAAACTCAGCCAGATTTAGAAACTGAATGTAATGACAGTATTAGAAAAATGTTCACACAGTTTGACAATGATCAGGGTTACTCAGAACCCAATCTGAACTCTCTAAACTGCCACAAAAGCACAAAGCCAAAAATTGACAACCTGTACGACCTCTTTGCGCAAAAACCTGTGGAAGGAATTTCGAAAAATGAATCATTAGAAGAAAGAGCTGCAAGGATTTTGGGAATAGATGTAGCTGGAGAAGCCTTGATTTCTCCAGTTAAGAAGACATCATATCAGAATATAGGAGAAAATGAAACAAAATCTCCTGCTGATGTGGAACTAGGCCATAATGGTGATCATTTGTTGGTGGACAGGAAAGTCGCTTCAGTGAAACTGACAGACCACATCAAGGAGAAATCTTTGGACAGGAACAAGCTTTCAGAATGGAAACAAAACCCTCTGTATGGAACCTCAAGTGGAAATAATTTACATGAGAATAAATTGCCGGAGCATCTTGCTGCAAGTAACAAAGAGCTGGGGAAAAGGGCCATTATAAACGAGTTCTTTCATGGACCTTTCAAGGAGTTTTATAACTGGACTGATACAAGTTGCTGTCTGAGCACAGAAAGCAGAGCTGTCTCTCCCCCAGGTGCAGACAAGAAAGATCAAAGTACTTCAGAGAAGGTTGAATCATTGCAAGGCAAAATTTCATCATCTCCCCCAAACCAAACAGCTCTCGACCGCTTGGCCAGAATGAAAGAAGCAGATTTGGTTTCCCGTATCAGACGTGTCAGCATCAAAAGTACTGGTTCTGGTGATGATTTTGATGAGGAAAAATGTAGAACAGAGAGGGGTGAAGAAGAAGCAGATTGCATGTTGGCCAGACGGGAAGAAACCTGCACAACAAGGAAGAGGGGCATATCATTGGATCAAGAATTGGAATCTATTGCATCTTCAATGACAGCTGATTCTGAGCGCAGACAGATGGCAGGTATGTCCTTGCAGTAACGTCATGGCTTAGATACTGGAGGATGTGCACTTGTAGAATCATAAATATAGTGATGAATTTACTATTAGCAAACTTAAGAAATTATTGTCATCCCAGCTGATGTTATTACTGGATATGTCAGATCCCAGAGTGAAATCCTGATTGATAGATCATATTTTGTTTGTGGCTTTGGTTTTAACAAAGTGGTCTCTCATAAGCATGCGATGTTGTAGATGTAGTTTTTAGAATAAAACAGTACTTTAATAAAGAAAAGAAATGTAGAATAAACCAGATTATTTATGTATAACACAAATCTAAAGATTTTGAAACCCATGGTAACATGTTATCCCATTAATCACCAAAACACTCCTGTACAGTATTTAATGTCATTTCTTGTACAGTATTAACACTAAAGAAAAACTGCCTTCTCTAACGCCAGAATAGGCTTAATTTAACTGTGACTTCTACTTCCAGTCTGAAAAATCTGATAAACTCTTCCTCAAGCTTTCATAGACTGAGCTTAAATGTTCTTAACTTCAAATAACCTCTTTAGGGTTTTATCAAAACACCCTTGATCTAGAACTATTACTGAACTCCCTAGTCTAATGTTAACCCATTGTTAATATCTTCACCCTTTCTCAGGAGCACTGCTTCACTCATCCATCTTCATTCAAGACTTCCTCAGAATGTCCGAAACTGAAACTAAAACTATTTGTCCCCAGCTATGGGTTTTCCCCGAGCTTGGAAAAAACAAGCCTGGAAACTTAGATTAGAAAGCTTAAGGTTTTGCTCTGTGTATTTTGATCAGTCATAAACTCTCCTAATATAAAGTAAACGGCATTAGTTCTTCAAGATACCTCTCTATCAAGTGGTTTTAAAACAAATCACCATGGCTACAGTAAAACTTAAAAGTTAATCATTAAACCCAACAAGGCAGTAACTTCAATATGACTATCAGTTGAATACTGGCAATAGGGAAAAGGAGTAATTGCTCCTGATTCATACTGAGGAATAATACAGAAGTTATATGAAAAACATTGCAAGGTTTCAGTAGGAAATGAAGGGGTACTTACTGTAATCAGTATTTGCATCACGATTGTGTCATGTAAGTTATAGCACATCCTTACATAGGGTCCATGAGGGCTAAATTCATCAGCTTAGAAAAGGGACTGCAGGCATTATGATGCATAATTAACCCATGTTTGTGACTGAAATTCAGTTGGCGCTAACGTTCCCTGTTAGCTGCATAGCTGCACACTGCAGTCACTTCGAGGGTCCACATATGTGATCAGCCGACTAATGCCATTCACAGCACCAGCTTCCTGTTCAGGAGGTTTCTGCTGTGCACAGACTTTAGAGACCTGCACAAAAGAAAAATAACTAATAGGAATGTGGGTTAGCACTCCAACTTATGCTGCTCATTTCAATCTCATTTGCTCAATTTCATTTGAATTCCTTTTCAAATTTCATTTGCTTGCCAAGTTCTGCATGCCTGTAAGTCCAAATAGATTTTATGTCAATGCAAATACAGAAAGTATAGCTCCTACATGACTGCTCATAAATGAACTAATGAGAATGAAAATGGAGTCCCTGAAAACCAAAATCTAGCCCCTAAAAGAGATCACCAGATAGTAACTGAGATAGTAGGAACTGCAGATGCTGGAGAATCTGAGGTAACAAGGTGTAGAGCTGGATGAACACAGCAGGCCAAGCAGCATCAGAGGAGCAGGAACCCTGCTGTGTTCGTCCAGCTGTACACCTTGTTATACCAGATAGTAACTGCCTGCCCCCATCCAAAATAGTCTGGGTAAGTTTGTTTAGGTGATCAGTATTTGGCTGCCATTGCTGTAAAGCAGAATGGCTTATGGTAAAAGAATCCAAGCCAGGCAGTAAGCTAGCACAATCACAGCTTTCCTCATATAGTCATTCCTGAATATATTCAGCCTTGTTATGGAGTTTCTACCTTTGTTGTCAAGGAATTAATTACTTCACTGATTCAACTATTTCCCTGGCTCCTGGATGAGTAGAGATTGATTAGGTTTCTTTTTTTTTGGGATTGCTTTTTGTTGGGATTGTTTTCGCTGGAGTTCAGACAAATGAGGGGAGATCTCATAGAGACTTATAAAATTCTAACAGGACTGGATAGGGTGGATGCAGGGAGGATGTTCCCGATGGTGGGTGTGTCCAGAACCAGGGGCCACAGTCTAAGGATTCGAGATAGACGATTTAGGACAGAGATGAGGAGAAATTACTTCACCCAGATAGTGATGAGCCTGTGGAATTCATTATCACAGGAAGTAGTTGATGCCAAAACATTGAATGTATTCAAGAGGCGACCAGATATAGCACTTGGGGCGAATGGGATCAAAGGTTATGGGGAGAAAGCAGGATTAGGCTATTGAGTTGGACAACCAGTAATGATTGTGAAGAATGGCGGAGCAGGCTTGAAGGCCGAATGGCCTCCTCCTATGTTTCTATGTTAGCTGGGTATTCCTTTATTGGTGGATTTAAAACTGCTGTCATTCCTTTGCTGCTGTCTTCTTCACCATTCCCATCCTTCCACCTTTGTAGCCTTTTTTCTCGACCCCCTTGCACTTTGCAGCCTTCTTCATCCAAGTGCTTCCTCTTACAGCTTCCTCCCCCCTGCCCCGCAGCCTTCTTTCCCATCATAGAGCCCAGTGACACGCTCATACGGCCGTGACTGTAATTAGCTCAGAATAGAGCCAAGCCTTCCCCCTTTCACTGTCAGCACCTATGAAAATACATTCAGTCAAGATAGTTCTTTTTCCATTAGTCATCGATATCTTTAAAAGTCTGACATGCAGCAAGTTAATAACTGGCTTGAGAAAATCAATCTGTGCTGTTGGTTAGAACTAACTCTGATCTGTTCCTGCCACTTTTCATCCTTCTCAAGATTTTGCTCCATTACAACTGATCATTGATTGTTACATCAGTTTTCAGCTTGCTTCCCACTGCTACTGCCACCGCCCAGCCCCCAGTGCCTCTGACAACAACAATTTGCGTGTATGTAGCACTTTTTAGCATTGTTTAACTGCTCATGGCACTTCACAGTGTTATAAGTCAATGTGTGGCTACATTACGAGATACTCAAACAGAAAGCCCCTTGAGTCCACACTGGCCCTCTGAAGAGCATCCCACCCAGGTCCACCCCTCCACCACCTTATCTTTGTAACCCTGCGTTTCCCATGGCTAGTCCACCTAGCCTGCACATCCCTGGACACTATGGGCTGTTTAGCATGGCCAATCCACGAAGCCTGTACATCTTTGAACAAAAAGAAACATCAGTTTCTCTGACCACAGATCTTGCTACTCTTGCTGATTTTCTCCAGCATACTCAGTTTTTATAGCAGAACAAAAACAAAGTTGCTGCAAAAACTCAGCAGGTCTGGCCACATCTGTGAAGGAAAAAAACGGAGTTAATGTTTCGGGTCCAGTGACCCTTCCTCATTTTTTATAGTAGAAACTTGCCACGTCACAGCTTTTGCCATGTAGCTGCTGTTCAAATTGCCTGCTAAGTATCAGAATCAATCAGTGGTATGTGATGTCAGTCAATGTAACTGGACTAGCAACAATTCCTTGTTTTTTTTTTCTTCCACACAGGCAAGAACAACACAACAGCATCACTCCAACATTTTCATTACAATTTTATATAACCTCTACCTGAACCTACCAGAGTAATCACTGTAATTTTAAAACAGTCGTTCAAAACCCTCTTAAAGCAGCAGATTTAATTTAAAAGCAATTGTATTTTGCTAAAGTAGCAATTTAAAACAGAAAGAAACTTTGATCAATCACTTGCTTCCGTACACTGTATGCATGCATTCTAATAAACCAGTAACCCCAGCACTTCAGTTAATTGCTTCTGGTTTTAGCTGCCACATATGAGGTCCGAACCTATTCTTCCTCCAAACACAGGTGAGCGTAAATGTCTACAATGGTGTCTCCATGCTGAACAGCTCATGAGAAGCCTCGGTCATCTGAATTCTGGTTTGTTGTTGGTGAATATTTACTGTTAGACGTGAGGCCTGACTGAGCTGACAAGCCCGTCCGAGTAAGACAGCCACATCAGCCAACACCAACAAACCTGACCAGGGCAGGCCACTGGGGCTGAACTCAACAAGGATCTCAACTCAAAGGGTCATCCCTTGAGGTTGTACACTTGCCCCATGCTAACCTTTAGTGACAAGTTCTCAGACATGTACGTTTTCTTGGTTTTGAAGAAAGTTCGGAGAGCTGTAGGTGCCTGAGCTATTGAGTGTTGTAACTCCTTTTGAATGTGTACCCTGGCACTATGAGAGGGGCAGTGCCACTGTGGTGCCACTAGTGCTATATTGGTAGCTGCACTTTAGCAAAATACAATTGCTTTTAAATTAAATCTGCTGCTTTAAGAGGGTTTTGATGTTGGAAAAAAGGGCATCTGATGGAGATGCCCAGCACCCATCCCCCTGTGTAACAGTCTTGTGCAGTGCCAATTTTACAATGCTAAGTCACACACATAGGAGCATGAAGCATTGAGCAGATTGTGGCACACACCCCTGGCAGAGCTGCAGCAGATCATTCATCCTCTTGTGAGACTGGAGTCAGGTTCTTCTGGGCTGTCCACAGGCGCTGACCTCTGCAGTCTCCTCTCTCCAGGATGGTCTTTTGTTGGCATCACCAGGGAAAAGAGTTTCCCTCTTATCCTGGACTGTAGCCTTCAGGAGAACATTCAAGGAGACATTGCTAAAGCACAGTGCTACTTTTACTTGGTCTCTGATATCTCCAGGTGTGGGTGGAGGTGATAAGCAGAGGGTGACTGATGCTCCCAAGTTGCAGAGAGTGAAGTAATGTATAGGTGCCTTTTAAATATGGCACCTAAATGTCAGAACCTAGAAGATGCTGGAGAGGATTGGGGGTCAGAACCTCCTGCCCTGAACATTCGGCGTTTTACCTGTGTTTGCATATGTAATGAGCTGAGAAGAATGTAATTGCATGAGAAAGCT